TTTTTAAATTGGTAACCGACTTCTATGTCACCTTCCGCGGGAAAACGAGGATTCCGTGGCCAATCAAATGATGTTCCTTCTACGCTTAGTGGCAGGGTTGTCATATGCGCTGGTGGGATGAATACATTTTCAAGTGGAACACATTGATCATCTATGTTGACTTTGATCCCTTCCTGAAACAAGGTAGTATATAAATCATCAACTTGTGCCTCGTTTTCTTCTTCGCCGTCTCCGTCTTCAACATCTTCGTATGGAATTATGGATGGATTGATCACCTGAGAAGTCTGCGTTTCTTGAACTTGTGCAAATGTTATATATAAATCAATGTGCTGAAACCCACAACATTCATGATTCGAGAACATCGTTTCAACATCCTCGTCGTCACGAATCTTCAGTGGAACAAATTTAAAGCGATTTTCGCCGAAACGGACGGCATTTTTGGACGGATGTCTGAAAAGCATTTATTCTGTCTGAAGACAACCGCCCATTCAAGGTACGGGTGTCAGCGAAAGATAAGCACAGCCGCCCATTCCAAATGTGGGTGTCAGCGTAAAAGAGACACAGCCGCCCATTCAATAGGCGGTGGTCAAAGTCTTTAAGACTCTGCGCCCATGCAGCCTACACGTACCTATGCATGCAGAAAATTAATTTTACACCAACCCCAAATTAATTACCTCCTACATATTTACCTATTTATCTCTTACAATTATCATACTCTCCTACAACTTCAAACACAAATATCTCTTACAATTATCATACTCTCCTACAACTTCAAACACTAATATCTTTTACAACTAAATTCCATTCTCAAAAATGGTTTTACTTACCTTAAGAGATGATCACCGTGGTACCATTGAAAACATTGCAAAAGATGGCGACCCGAAACCCACACTTTTCATCTTCCCACTGGGGAATGCACAGTGACACTTGAGGATATCCATATGTTGTTGGGTCTCCGTGTCAATGGCTCAGCGGTTGTGGGTTGCACCAACGTTAACTATGAATTAGTGGAACAACTATTGGGGGTGCCTTTAGAACGATGTGATAGGAAGGGCCAAAGCCTTAAAATCACTTGGCTAAAAAGAATTTATGGCAACTTGACCATAACCAATGAGTCTCCCGAGGAACAAAAAATTTATAAGACTAGAATTTATTTACTTTTGCTTTTTGGGTGTTTTTTATTTCCGGATACTAATGGTAATACTATACATCTTCAGTATTTACCATTATTAGAAGATTTCAGAGAAGTGAGTAATTATAGTTGGGGCGCTGCTACATTAGCGCATCTATACAGAAATTTGTGTAGATGCGCAATGAAAAATGTGCATAATTTTGCTGGTTGTGGTGTTTTGATTCAAGCCTGGGGATGGTCCAGAATGCCCAGACTGTCACCGATCAACCCCAATCCATTTCACTTTCCATACGCAACCAAGTGAGTATACAAAGTTTGTGTATATATTATTTTCTTCTATAATTTTTACTAACTGTTTCTTTTATAGGTGGTCCGCGTATGGGATGAATTACGAAAAAACTCTGCATCATTGTGCTCCTGGGTATCGGACGTTCTTCGATCATTTTGAGGAAGATGATGTATTGTTTCTAGTCCCTTATTTTCTTGCTAGCACTTTCCATATTTTTTCCTCTAATCCCTTTTTAATTATATTATAGTTTCTATGGAGACCCTATCTTGAACTTGAAGACGAGGATCCAACTGAAAGCGATATGTGGAGTTCTACAACATTCATAATTTCTTTCACTATTGTTGAAATGCATCATTCAGATAGGGTGAAACTCCAATTCGGAATTAAACAAGACATTCCTGGTCCACCTACATGCATGGATACGTACCACAAGAGTGCAGCGAACGACCAATGGAAATTCGATGATTGGAGAGACCATAACAGACAAGAACGACAACAATGGATGGATCGTCGCCGCACTGTTCTACGAGGAAATGTCATGGATGCCGAATGCAAACCAAGTAGAGAATACATGAGTTGGTATAGATCTGTGACCAATTTGTATCTATCACAAAATAGATACTTGTGGGACCCTCGAAACCAACCAACTTCATCAAACTTCCAAAACACCCCCTCCATGACTTATGACACCCAACCACCAATATTTAACACCCCACAACAAATATTTAACACCCCACAACAAATATTTAACACCCCATTCAACCCAAACCCAACACAACCACCTTATACCCCAAGCCAACACTACAATCAACCTTACACATCATTTAACCCAAACCCCTTCAACATCCAACAACAAAATCCAACCTCATCATACACCCAATATAACCAATTCTCATTCTCTCAACCTACCCAACAAGAACATAACTACCAAACACCCCAACCACAAGTTCTTTTTTACCCTTCACAAAACTTCACCCTTTCTCAAGACCAACATCCATACACCCCCTACATGACTAACGCGGCGCCACCTATAAACCCACCAACTTGGAGTAACGAGGGTACGAGATTAAGTTATGGAAGTGCGGCAGCGATACCAGCTGACGACGATTTCAATGATGATTTGGTCGCTCAATTCATGAACCCTAACAATGATGCAGGATCATCTACGCAGACCCAAAACTCTGAGGTTGATCGTAGAAGGTCCACCAGAAATGTACAAGCTCCTGCCTGTGGAACCCGGCAACGCTTACGTCGACCGGGTTGAAATTAGTTAAGGGTCAATAGGAATTGTAATGTACATATTAAATTTCAAAAATTAATAAATATTTATTTTAGTTCTTTTATTGTTATTTATTTTATAAATATTATTATATATTTCTAATTCAGTTATAATTATTACTAATTAATTTAAATTAATTAAAACTAAATACATTATTTCTACATCAATTATTATTATTACTAATTAAATTAAAAATAATTAAAACTAAGTATTTTAAAATACATTATTTCTAATTCAATTATTATTATTAATAATTATTATAGTATAATAATAATAATAACTATTGTTATTAATAATAATAATAATAATAATAATAATTATTATTATTATTATTAATTATTATTATTATACTAAATAAATTAAATAACATAAAACGAAAAAAAATAATAATAAGAATGCCCTCAACCGCCCATTGAAAGGGCGGGTGCCTATAAAAAACAACATGACCGCCCATTGAAAGGGCGACAGTGCTTTAAGTTTGTTTGAAAAGATGGCATTTTGGTATTAAATCTGAAATGTGTGGCATTTTGGTTATTCCTGTGTAATAACATGGCATTGCTGAAAAATTTTCACCCTTTGTTTTAGGATAGTAACCTAATGGGAAAGATAACCCACTTTTATATTTTCTTCATAACTGTATTATTTATTTATTCATGAATAACCTGCTTTATAATTCTATATCTTAATGTCTTATGTTTTTTTTCTTGAGTTATGTAATAATACAATAATAAGGTCCCGTTTGTCTATTTTATGAAAGTACTTTTTCTAAATGGGTTAATTTTACCTTTTTAATAAAAAGATAAAATGTTTTAAAAAAAATAATTATTTTTATTAAAAAGGTAAAGTTAATCCAATTAAATACAAAATAATGGGGAAAAAAATAGAAGATGTAAATATATATGACAATGGTCAATGAATATTTATGGGCATGGGTATTAGTCGTATGTTATATTATATATTTTGTTTAGTAAATATGATATCGTATTTGATTTATAATGCGGGGTGATTTGGTTAATTCAGTAAAATACAAGCTGCAAATTAAATTAAAGAGCACAATTTTGTTAAAGAATATTCAATTACATCGGAAGTAAACATGATTTTTTGGAATTATAGTTTTAATTGATTTAATTTGCGCTCTTTTATTAAATTGGTAACCTCTAAATACATTTAGATTGAATTAATAAAAATTAATTTAGTACTAGATAAACACATTGATTTAGTAAAATTACTTAAAAATCATAGTTGAAAAGTTGATTTTTTGAGAATTTTGAAGGAGAAAGAAGGTTGTGTCTATATTTTAATGTTTTTGTTATTTTAAAAATAATATAATTTTATATGTTAATGTACTAAATTATTTTTAAAAATATCAACAAGGCTGGCTTTAGGAATAGGCCAATAAAACTATCGTCTAGGATTTCATTTTAAAAAAAAATATTTATATAGCTTTAATTAATTGATTTTTAAAAAAAAAATATTTTCATTTTTAACATTTATTTAAGATATGTGTTGTATAATTGATTAATTTAAAAATTAAAATTGTCTTATGTTTTTAAAAATTAATAAATTGAAGCCTTATTTTGTTATCATTCAAATATAATAATCATTTTTTAAGTTTTTTTAACCACGATTTAATCGTGAAAATTTTTAGATCATATCGTGTAATTCGTCTCACACGCCTTTAAAAACAGTTTTGTAAAAATTCATACCAATAAATACTAAACATTTATGTTCTCTTGCATAAAAAAATAGTTTTTTTTAAACTTTAATAATGTTTTAGTTATATTTTTTAAAAATAATTAGTAGAATGTTTAGATGTGTTATCAATTAAAAATAAAATATTAAATAAAATTGATTAGAATAATTTAATAATTTTATATTTTTAAAATTTTAAAATTATAATTTATTAATATAAAATAAAAATATTTTTATTATAATAAAATTTTAATTTTTACCTCAAACTTCACAATATTTGACTGATCCTAAATATCAAACATATTTTAAGATATACATGCAACTCCCTATAAAACCTCCCAAAAAAAAACTAACTCTAAAATAACTTTTTTTTTACATATGGAAGTAGTCAATGAACACAAGTGCTATTGATCTTCAATTTTATAGACTTTGTAAGACTCCCGCAATCTGATTGAGAGTTGTTTGTTGAACATGGTTTATGTATGGTTGTGCCACTGGAGACCCTAGTTTTGTGACGCCCTGCTCCTTCACCAACTAGGTCATTACTCAACTTGAGTTGTAGAATGAGAGGAATATTGGAAAGTATGCAAAGAAGGTTTACGTTTTGCCTAAACACGTTGATGAGGAACTGGCCATCTTGATAATAAACTCACCAATCTCAGGCTGATTATTACATTAGATTGCCACTTCAGGATCCATACAAACCTGCAGCGGATACCGATGGAACATTTAGGTTTATATTTTGTCTCTCAGACTCTGTCTTAAGAAAGAAAAAGAAATTAAGGCATTTTTTTACACATACTAATATTCTTAACGATCAAATTACTGTCTTCTATCCGAGACGGGAAAAAATGCTTTCTTTTGGGGTCTTAAATTTTATCGGATATAAAATTGGCTTATTTCGATAGCCACCTACCTTCCTAGGGGAAATATCAACAACGTTTAAACTAATGAAATTAGAAATACATCATAAAAATTATTTTCTCCATATACTACTTTCACCTTTCAAGTTCACTTCAATTGATAGTATAATCAAATTTTTATTTAATAGATTAATTAAAAATTGTTCAATATACTATTTAATCTTTGAACTATTTCAGAAATATTCATCACTACAATGAAGAATTCACTTTATAAGATAAATAATATCAAGTTCCATTAAATCAGCTTAATTAGTAATTAGAAACATGAATTTCAATCTACAACATCTATTTATTTAGCAAATCAAACTATGAATTCCAACTATTAACTAATATCAACTATTATAATTAGCAAATCAAAGGTTCTAAGTATACAAAACCAAATTATAACATTTTTAAAATAATAACGATCTTGATTGAGATGGCCCAAATTTAATTTAGAAATTATTTTGAAATAAAACTGACATATGAATTGACTTATACTACTATAATATAGTAAACTCACATCGCAAGTTCATACTACCAGGGTATTCGAATTTCAAAAAGTGATTTAAGTGTTCAAGTGAAATCATTTAAACCGACGTTCAATAGATTTCACAGCAATAAGAGGAAAACTATAAGAGGAAAATAGTTTGGGCTACGACGCTCACTTTTTGTTTGTCATAGCCGCCATTTTGTTTTCTACTGAAGATGATAAAATATCAAAAAGTAACCAACCATTTCTAGTACGCGTGTGAACGTGAACATGATATTTCGAAATCAAGATACTATTAATTCAAACATTTCTAGACGCAAGAAAACTTTTTACTCATTTTTAAAAAACATTAAGTGTACTTAAGCATACTTCTCACACAACCCCCAACCAGAGCATTATTCAAACCCATTTGGTCTCGATCAACAGAAACCAATAGGTTGCCTTCCTCATACCCATCCCCCACCCTAACATCACAAAAACCTAAAATTCTACAACCACAATTCTTAGAAAAAGTCTAACACCAAAAGTAAGGAAAAATTAAACAATCAAAAGGTTTCATAAAATCAATTTTCTTGCCCCTCAATCTCATGGCCACCTTGATCACCTTTCAGTACCTGTAGGCGGCTGGCTTGTAAGGACCCTCAACTGGCACACTGATGTAATCAGCCTGTGATTGGGTAAGCTTGGTGAGTCTAGCTCCAAGCTTGCCAAGGTGAAGTGCAGCCACCTTCTCATCAAGATGCTTAGGCAAAACGTAAACCTTCTTTTCATACTTTCCAGATTTCCTCTCATTCCACAACTCAAGTTGAGCAATGACCTGGTTGGTGAAAGAGCAGGACATCACAAAACTAGGGTGTCCAGTGGCACATCCCAAGTTCATCAATCGACCCTCAGCCAAGACAATGATGCCGGTTTTGGTCTCAGGGAAAACCCACCTGTCGGTTTGAGGCTTGATGGTGATACGCTTGACACCAGGGTAGTTCTCAAGGCCGGACATATCAATTTCATTGTCAAAATGACCAATGTTACAAACAATGGCATTGTTCTTCATTTTCCTCATGTCACCAACCATGATGATGTCCTTGTTACCAGTGGTGGTAACGAAGATGTCAGCATAAGAGACAACATCATCAAGAGTCAAAACCTGGAATCCTTCCATGAGAGCCTGAAGGGCACAGATTGGATCAATTTCAGTCACAATCACACGAGCTCCAGCTTGCTTCAAGGCAACAGCACAACCCTTTCCAACATCTCCGTATCCACAGACAACACCCACTTTCCCAGCAATCATAACATCAGTAGCCCTCATCAAACCATCGGGAAGAGAGTGACGGCATCCATACAAGTTATCAAACTGATACAAAAATACAAACATCGTTAGATCAGAATATGAAAATTCATATAATAGTTAGCTACATACACACACATGTTCATTTGTTAAATTCAAGATCTAAACCCTGTAAACATTTATCAAACACTTGGCGGATCTAAAGCCTAGCTATATCAATTGAACACAATTACACATACTAAACTTATATCAATACATTTATCAAACAATTGGCAGATCCAAAACTCAAAACTCAATTCCACAACATGTACACTCTAATCCATGCTAGATCTGAATCCAAACCAAAACCCAAAACATGAAAAGCATCAACTTCTACTGAAATCAAATAATAAAATCCCAGATCCAAATTAAAATATAAACAAAAAACAGATCTAGGTAAAGAAACTGACCTTGCTCTTGGTGACAGAGTCATTGACATTAATAGCAGGGAACAAAAGAGTTCCACTAGCTTGCATCTGATAAAGCCTCTTAACACCAGTTGTAGTCTCTTCCGAAACACCAACAAGTCTATCCTTCATCTTACGGTACCTTTTAGGGTCAGTCTTCAACCCATCTCTAATGATGGTAAGCACAAGCTGAAACTCAGCGTTATCAGTAGAGGTAGGATCAGGAACCTCACCAGTTTTCTCAAAAATCTCTTCAGCTTTAACACCTTCATGGATCAAAAGAGTGGCATCACCACCATCGTCAACAATCAGATCAGGACCACCACCGGGACCCCAATCCAAAGCGCGTTCAGTACACCACCAGTACTCCTGTAGGGTTTCACCCTTCCAGGCGAATACAGCGGCACTGTCACGAGCTATGGCGGCGGCAGCGTGATCTTGAGTTGAGAAAATGTTGCAGGAACACCAACGTACTTCAGCACCGAGGGCGGTTAGGGTTTCGATGAGGACAGCGGTTTGGATGGTCATGTGAAGAGATCCGGTGATTCTAGCACCTTTGAAGGGCTGGGATGGTCCGAACTCGGTCCTGCAGGATATGAGTCCGGGCATCTCGATTTCAGCCAACTCAATTTCGAGACGACCAAAATCGGCTTGAGAAAGGTCTCTGACCTTGTACTCACGGCCAGCGGTGGTTTTCTCTACTGTAAGAGACATGGTTGATTACACTAAACACAGTGTGTAAAGAAGAAACTGTGTTAGTGTAACGGATTGTAGAGAGAGGAGAGTGAAAGGTGGAGGAGGAAGTGAGAATGAGAGTGGGTATAAATAAGGGTTTAAGATAATGGGAGTTGGTGGAGTATTTGGACCGGACCGGACCGGACAGGGCTGGACCAGATCTGGTTTTTTTCCTTATCTTTTTAAATATTATGGACCTGGAAATAAATTAAATCATTCTAGTTTCAATTATTATATCTTTTTTAGTCAAAAAGAAAAACTCCGTGTTTTTTTCAATGTTTTCTTTTGGTGTGTTTTCCATTCCTTTGTTCTTATTCAAATAAATAAATACTGAAGTGATGAAGTAGAGAGATTTATTTTCTAAAAAATGTTATTTATTTTATTTAATAAGATGGAATTAATGTTATTTAAAAATAAAGTATTTGTATTATCTGAATTTTTTTTTTTAGTATAACCGTGTATTAAGTAAAAATTATCATTTAAATGAATGATTCAAAAAATTCCCAAATTAGCTAGGTTTCAACATTCGGTCACCATGTCATTTGGCAACTCAGTGCAATTTGAATTTGGGCCTCAAAAAAGTCGCCCAACAGGTTGGCGACAGAGTCCATTTTTAAATGAAGTTGCCCAAGCAATTGGCGACTCAGTGCATTAGAAAATTAGGGTTTACGTTTTTTTTCATATAATTTTAAATTTACGAATTTAATTAAGTTTAAATAATAAAAAAATAATTAAATTAAATTTAAGTTATTTAAAATATTTATATAAATTGAATTTTAAATAATTTATTTTCTATAATTTGCATAATTAATTGAATTTTAAATAATATTAAAAAAAAGAAATGGAATAAATATTAAATTATCTTTTTTGTTTTTCATAATTAATTAAAATGTAAAAAATGAAGAAAAAAAAGGAAATGGAATAAATATTAAATTATAGTTTATATTTTTCATAATTAATTGAAATTTAAATAATATTAAAAAATATAGACATGTAAAAAGTTTTAAAATATATTAATTTACAATATAATGAAAATTACAATTGAACAAGAAAAAAACTAATGGTCGACTCTATCCAAGCGACCACCGGTGCTACATTGTGGGGGATGCGCGTTGCGACGAGATCTACGACGAGGTTGTTGTGGGGTGTCAGGTCTTTGTGTGTTGAGTTGTAGAGGAAGGTTTTGTTGGGACGGCCCCGGAGTATCAGATAAAGTTTGAAACATTTGGCCCTAATAGCCGGGAGGTCCACTATCAATGGCGCTTCCGTAGTTAAGCCCAATGCCCATGTGTTCATAGGATTGTCGGGGAGGTTGGGTGGAGTATGGGCGGTATGGTTGTCCGAAGTCGTACATTGAATTGGGTTGGAAATGGTGTGTTGGTTGTTGTGGGGTTTTGTAGTCAAACAATGGATAGTTTGATGGGGTAGGGTCAAATGAGTTGTCTGAGCTATAGGTGGTAGAGGTAGGCTCAAAAGACGTGTCAGGGCTATATTGGTATGGTGGTTGATGTTGTGACTGGGTGGTGGCATGTACGGGTCACGGTAAGGATAAGGATGTTGTTGTTGTTGTTGTTGGGCATTTGGTGGCACGTATGGGTTATAGTAAGGCTGATGTTGGGCATTGGACTGTTGTTGTGTGTTTGATGAAGAAGCGCGTTGCATTGGGTCAATCAAATAACATGGCTCGAACAGAATTGGCTGAGAGGTTGTGACTGACTGAAACCTACCAATAATTGCCTTGGTAAAGGCAACATATTTTAGGCTAGGTGCACTCTTTGATAGCAGACGTACGAAGTGGGGTTCAGTATTACAATCGGGTCAGCTGTACAGTGATACTTCGATGAAATTCATGAGAGACGAAACTGCCAAAGCCAACACACATGTGGTCATAATTTTTGACCGTAATAAAGGTTAGTTAAGTGTTGCCGAGTCGATTGATCACAACGAATGAATGCCTAGGGGATATTATCGTGTTGAACTGGATAGGAGCTGGTGTGATTGTGGGAAGTTTCAGGCATTTCGTATGCCTTGCTCTCATGTTATAGCAACATGTTCGAAGGCGCGACAGAACCCAACCGACCTTCTTTCTGCAGTTCACCAAGTGATAAATCTATGCAATGTCTACACATGTAACTTTCAGGTGGTGGCAAAGGAGGACTATTAGCCTCAATACGAAGGCGAAATTGTCTGGTATAATGACTTGATGTGCAGAAAGCAAAAGGGTCTCCCTAACAGCACGCGCATTCAAACGAAGATGGATACCGCATACAAGATGGTAAGATTATGTAGTTCGTGTCGGCAACCAGGACACAATCGTACAAAATGTCCTAACATAGGATCAAGCAGCAGATCATAGTTTCATATGTAACTGTGTCCTTTAAATCAATAGCAAATTTCATTCCATTTAAAGCATACTTAATCGATTACAATTAGCAAGCAACTGAAATTAAACAAACATAACTTAATATCACAACAACATTCCGAAAATAACAACAGTATAAAGACATAAAACAGAACACTACACCAAGGCGTCTACGATATCACGATCATCAACGTTATCTTCTTTGGTGTTAACATTATCACAAGGACACCAACATTATTTTCCACTTGTCTCCATTCACGAGTAACTCCGTTTCTCTCAGCCTCCTCGACCAACCTCTCAATTTTCCTAATCTTTTCTCCTTGAACAATATCTCCTTCTAGCCAGCGGTTCAGTTCCATATGCAAGTGCTCCAACGTCTGCATATTCCACAGGAGTGCCTTCATCGAAGGATTTGTTGCTGAAAAAACAACTAGGTCATTTCTTTTCATTAGATCGAATGTTGGAAAGGGTTCCTCCAATGCTGATGACGACGACGAAGAACGTTGATTTAGAAATGCAGACATTCTAGACTCCACTCAACTCAAAATGCACTAACACTTCAGTCTTTTGGTATACAATGTTGTGAAAATATATATGTGTTTGCAGTCGTATTTATAGAAAAATAAAATAGTACGTGTCCCATATGATGTCTTAAATACCCTTACAAACTTTATATACTTTAAAATACAATGGTTAATCAATTTTTATGTTTTAAAATTTATAATTTAAATCAATTTATATGCTTTAAAATTCAATGGTTAATTAATTTTTATTTTGTATTTAATTTAATTTATAATTAAAACTTTTAAAATATTTATAATTTAAAAACAATAATTATTACTTAAACTTTATTTTAAAATTATATCACAATTATATTTATATCAAACCTAAATGTATAAAAACAATATTTATTAAACCTAAATTTATAAAACCAATTTAAGTTTATTTTTAATTAAACTTAAATTTATAAAATCAATTTAAGTTTATTTTTAATTAAACATAAATACTTTAAGTTTATTATTTAAAAACTTTATTTTAAAATTATATGCAAAAAACGTAAACCTTAATTTCCTAATGCACTGAGTCGCCAATTGATTGGGCGACTTCATTTAAAAATGGACTTTGTCGCCAATCCGTTGGGCGACTTCTTTGAGGCCCAAATTCAAGTTGCACTGAGTCGCCAAATGACATGGCGACCGAATGTTGAAACCTAGCTAGTTTGGAAAATTTTTTGAATCATTCATTTAAATGGTAATTTTTACTTAATACATGGTTATACTAGAAAAAATTCGCATTATGTAGACACGGACACTGAAGCACATATATTTGTATTACTAAAAATATTTTTATTTTATATTGATATGTTAATGATTGTTTTAAAGTAAAAGGATTAATTTAGAAACAAAAATTGTCATATAAATCGAATATTGTTTTGGGTCTATCACAAGGATCTTCGGTCGATCATTTTGAAAAGGACATAGGTTATTTAGAATGTTTTTAGCACATAAGAGTTATTTTTAAGATGAATACTGATGATCTAAGTCTCAGATACATTTAATGGCTTTCCGCATTACACACCTGACAAATACATATAGTGTGTCAAGTTCAGGTATTCGATTTCAGTTCATTATTCTCCTACACATACTAATTGAACGTTAGAGTGTTAACCTTGTAGGCCGGTCTCTCTCCATCGGAACAGAAGGTCAGAGTCACTATGATCATCCATATTCATCATTCCTTACTCCATTTCTGGTTCCACAATAGAACAGTGGCGCCTTCTATGGAAATCGACTTCTGATTCCCGCATTTTCCACAATCTAACATTCGTTCTTCGATTCTTCAGTTCTAAACCTTTCAATTCATCGGATTAAGAGCTCTCGAAATCGAATACAAAGTTCCATCATGTTTGATTCAATCAAATAACATATCAACTTTAATCTCTTGAATTTCCAGATTTCTTGTAACACCCCACTTCCCAAATTAAATAAAATATAAACATTATAAATAAACATCAGAGTTTTCCCCAAAATAGTGGGATATCACATCACCAAATTTTTATAAAAATACTTTATTAATTATTCTCAAAAATAATACAGCGGAAAACATTATTCCAACATTCTCGGCCATCCGCCAAATTTCGTAAAACCTTTATTATTATAATTCACAAAAAAAAAGTGATACGTCACAGGATTACAATAAGTTTGACATAAAACAATTAAAACACCCATATCCCGTGTTACGTATCAGAGCATCCTAGACTCGACTGGCACACCACCATCCAAGCTATCTAAGTACCTGGATTATCTGTACTTCCGGAGAAGCACAGACACAACAACAACCAAGGGGTGAGAAAACATGATCAAAAATATATTGGTAATGTAATACATGTAAACAAGGTAGTAAAACACACCAACACACCAATATTCACCCCAACAACTCCATATAACGAACCTACTGTTCAAATTACAATATAACATATTATAATGCAAATATGCAACTCAACACCATGCATGCGGTACCGACTCATTGGTTCATTCAATCGAACCTGGATAGATCACTTACGCTCCTCCTGAGACATGATCTATCCCCCACCATTCTCCACTAAGGAGTACGGATG